GGGGGGGGGTCGTGTCTTGCTCTAGAACACATTCCAGTATCGGGACACATTCAAAAGAAAATGTGTGACATCGTGGTGAAATCTGGCGCTCGTCAAAATAAGGAAATCAGGGAAACTTACGTTTTCCGCTGCTTCGGCATTTTTAATCAATTTTTTTTTCGGTTCATCACTGTTTATGTCCATCACACCCCCTTTCCACGTAAATTGTAAGATCAGGCAGCGGCAGATTTATGTACCTCCGAAAACACAGAAAGAAACATAATAATATTTAAAAAGTTTGTTACCATCTAGCATAAGGCTTTTGTCTGAATGAGCATAGAAGTGTGTTGCTCTTTAGAGTATGAATCTATATAACTCCAAATGTCTTGTAATTAAATTCCTGCATGTGGTTGAATGATGCATTTGATGTGAATGTACATTTTGTCAGCTTTACTTCTCTAGACATATAGAATTTTAAAGAGAGTAATATAAAAAGAAAATTTTTTATGTATACCTTCATGAGTTTTTACGGTCCTGTACAGCCAAGAAAAATTTCCCTCTGGGATAATAAAGTATTATCTGTTCTTATCTTATCTTATCTTAAAAACACATTCCAGCTTGGATTTTACTGAAGAAATATGTTGAACAAAAGAACAAAAAAGGCACATTTGCAGTTTCCATTGACACTCCAGCTTTGAAAGTCACCCAACTTTGGTGGCCATTTCCCAGATAATTTTACCCGTGACCACCTCTTTCATTGCAACTATCTAGAATGCTGTTCAAGATAGATGGGTTGTTTGGTTGGGGTTTTTTTATCTCATCAAAAGCACAAAAGATGAAGAAGCTTTAAGAATATAATAGTAACTCCGTATGCTCAGAAAATGATGAGCGCCTGATTCCACCGCCTTGTGACACAACTTTATTTCTCTCCAGTGGTTTCTGTTATCATCATCATCCAGTGTCAGAACTGCTACAGACATTGGCGATCATGGTTTTCCATTCATTCCTTTGCTCAGATGCTCTCATAAAAGCTACGTTTCCCTGATCTTTTCCTGTTACCTATTTGTTTAGGTTCCCTAATTATGTTGTTCTGGGCCTACCCCTGCCTCGTTTGCCCTCAATTTTGCTAGTGAGAGCTAGATGTTCAAGACCCTTATGTCTATTCAGGTCAGTGGCGGGGCGCCATTAGAGCAATTGGTGCAAGCGCTCCACCTAACCCTTTTTCTAATAGTTCTAAACCAGTCAGTGCTCTAGATCTACATTAGGCCTAGCCCACTAAAATGTACATCTTTGCGATCCGTCACCCGCTGGCTGATCCAGTGAAAAGACAGACAGCGAGGATGGTTTATGCTCGTGGCACCGCTTGCTGTAGCGTCTGCTAGGAGCAAGCAAAATCTTTGCACCAAAGTTATTTTTGTCAGTGTAGAGAAATCTAGGCAACGTTCTTCCCACACAAGAAGAAAGGAGCATGAAACTGCTCTTCGCAGCCCCAATTTGGTGCAAGCTAAAAGTTTGATCCAAGTTTCCGCGAGCCTACCTACTACACTAGTAGAGTCTACGGTAACTCAATGAAGAATGGTTATCGAAACTGTTTTCTCCCTTTATTGTGTAGCAAGTCCTGGTGCTGCACGAAGTAATTAGACATCTTTAAATCATCTCAGATTGTGAGCATAGTGAGTGGTTAGTATTGTTTCACTTTATTGCAGCTTTTATGCGGTTTCATCTAGAGACAGTTGTAAATATCGATAGATGCAGATTACGGAATATCCTGCAGATTCTAATTGACTTTCTCTAGAAATCTTAATAGTAGATCTAGATACTAAGCCTATTGCCCATTTGCTCACTTTCCAATTATGCACCACCTTGTCTGCAACTCACGCGACGCCACTGATTCAGGTGTCCCAAAAACTGCATTTGTCTTTTCCTGATTGTTTTTAACACTGAGCGTCCCACGTGGGCTTTATCAAGCACTACCTCATTAATTTCTTTTCCTTCCACGATACCCTTAGCAGTCTCCTAAGAAAGTTATAATGAAAGTATTATGTCATTACCCAAAAGGGATGTAGGGCGCTCTCCGCCAGGCGTTCCAGAGAGCTTCCCAGTAGTCCCAGCTGGTGCTGTAATCGGATCTGTTGGGCCGCGTATATCTGTAACAGCAAAGCTGGGCATAGACGAAAAACAAGGTGTAACCATCTGCACTGGCAAGTTCATTGACGAGACGTTTTCGTTTACGTTTGTTCAACTAAGATGAAAGAAAAGATGTGGGGCAGGAACACTAGAGAAAGGAAAAGAATAACGTGGACGGACAACACAAGAACTTGGATGGATATGGCAGAATGTGCCACGGCAGCTCGCGACGATGAAAGATGGACGGTCAACCTCTGAGTCCGAGATGACACCTCGAGGTATCCTGGTAACTAAGATGGAGGGCATTTTCATCCAAGAGAATTTTTTAAAATGTTTTATTAAGCATTTACGGCACTTGCAACACCAATATGCCGTAATATAAGTGTCGAAGATTAGAGTTGTTACAAGAAAGTAGAGTGTACAAACACAAAAAAGAAGGATAGATAAGGACGATGTTATTTTTTTTTTTGGAAAGGAGATGTTAACAACATCAGACCACTTGCCAACCACCCATTCAGAAGATAGAAACACAACTATAATGTCTATCAAACGAAAAGCAAGGTAAGCGTCACTATTAATCCTGTCACTCACTCCTAGGGCACTGCTACTGGCTGAAGTGTCTTCAGGCCATTCCCAAAGGCGGGACATTAACATGTTCCTACGCATAGTAGAATTGTAAATGGGCTGATTCATCAATGCCATGCTCATAATCGTACCTGAACTGCAACTGGGAACTGCTGCTTTTTCTTTCCTAATCCTTACTATCGTCATTTTCCTCTACTTCTTTTGTATGTTTGTCACTCTCTTGTGACGGGCTATTTCTGGGGTACCTTGATAATCGCAGCACACTTTGAGCTGTTGAAGCTAGAGAGGTGAGCAGAGTAAGCCTGATTCCCTGTATGGACTTCTCTTTTGAAATCCATCCCTTGGCGCTCATATTATGACCTTATGCAGTTGCGAGCGCGGTTAAACTTCTACAAAACAAACAAAATCCTGTCACAACTTAACTTGTTTCAATTGTGTTGATGAAAGACTTTTATAATAATGGACTTTGTGTGCTCTCAGTTCGATTTGCCGTTATACAAACTAAAGTTTGTGAATGACTTGGTTTGATATTGAGGGCGTAAAATACCTATATAGATTGGGTTGTTTTTTTTTTATTAAAGCAGAAACCCGACTGCCAGACTGTTGTAATGATAAAGTCGGTTCCTTCCTTGAATCACGCAAAAAAAAAACTGTGGTTAAAATATCGTTTGAAGTTGAATCTTGTATTTATTTATTTCTTGAAATTTCTGCAGCTCCATAAATATCCTGGTGTGGTATTGGAATGAAATGACATCAGGTTTTCGCCACCTTATCTTTCTGTAGTATAATATAGTAGATTAGGGGGCTCTCGGGGCCTGGATGTTAAGGTGTTCGCCTCTCATTCAAAGGTCCAGGGTTCGAATCCGGGTAGCGACCGAAACATTTTATTCTCTAAAACGGTCTCCTTTCACCTCATTTCCTGCTCTCTAGCAATGTTCTGTCGTCTCCACTTTCTGCCCCCACCCCCTCAACTCCTTTGCCCCCTCCTCTGGGCTCCTGACTCTTTCTGCAGCCTTTCTACTGCTACTCCTTGGCTCCTTCTTACTGCTGTCTTTCAGCCACACTCCTGATCTTCTGGTAGGAAAGATCTACTCGTAGCCTTCTCGGTCACGGGCGAAAAATCTCGGAGGTCCCGTGTGCAAGTTGCGCACGTTAAAGATCCCTTGGTGGTCTAAAATCGATAAGATAAGAGTAGGCTTCGGCCGCCATCCAGGCAAGATTCCAAATTTCCTACTAACTGAAAATGTTTAATGTCTCTCGCGCCCTCATATGACCTTATGCAGTTGCGATCGCCGTAAAACACTTACTAAAAAAAAATCAAATTGTAGATTAGGTTGCAAAACCTGATACAACATTACTGTTTGATTTACACAACGGTTCAAAAAGACCACTGGTACAGTATTGTGTTGAGCGTGTGTGTGTACAGTATTGTGTTGACCGTGTGTGTGTGTACAGTACTGTGTTGAGCGTGCGTGTGTGTGTGTGTGTGTGTGTGTGTGTGTGTGTGTGTGTGTGTGTGTGTGTGTGTGTGTGTGTGTGTGTGTGTGTGTGTGTGTGTGCACAGTATTGTGTTGGGCGCGTGTGTGCACAGTATTGTGTTGGGCGTGTGTGTGTACAGTATTGTGTTTGGCGTGTGTGTGTACAGTATTGTGTTGAGCGTGTGTGTGCACAGTATTGTGTTGAGCGTGTGTGTGCACAGTATTGTGTTGGGCGTGTGTGTGTACAGTATTGTGTTGGGCGTGTGTGTGCACAGTATTGTGTTGGGCGTGTGTGTGCACAGTATTGTGTTGGGCGTGTGTGTGCACAGTATTGTGTTGAGCGTGTGTGTGCACAGTATTGTGTTGAGCGTGTGTGTGCACAGTATTGTGTTGAGCGTGTGTGTGCACAGTATTGTGTTGGGCGTGTGTGTGTACAGTATTGTGTTGGGCGTGTGTGTGTACAGTATTGTGTTGGGCGTGTGTGTGTGTACAGTACTGTGGAGAACTTACTCTGTTGAGCGTGTTTCCTCTCAGTCTCTCCAGACGTTCTTTGGCAGCGGTGCCTAGCGCAAAACACATGTCGTAACCGGTATTTGTGTTTATCCACTCGTACCACCGCCACTGTCGGCCCAAGCGATCCAGGGTACACGGACAGTCGAACAAGTCTGAGGGGGAAAAACAAAACCAAAAAAAATTCACAAAAATAACAAAAGTGAGGTGCGTTGACAAAATGAGATTCTTCTCGCAATCCAAGAATGGAGATACCGAGCGAAAATTAACACAGGGGTCAGATTAATAGATTTTCAATTCGCGTCATTTTCTTCAAGTCTATCCTGTCTTTAAGTGTTCCATGCTTACAAACTGTACACACTTCACCTATCAAGTTGGTGTATCGATTTCCATTTGGCTGAAATCCGAGAAGTAACTCATTTTGCCAGCACAACAGTAAATCTTACCCTTCCAGCCTCATGCGCCTATATTTTCAGCAGCGCTTATACATCCCACCGCCCCAAGAGCGTATATTCTAAGTGTCGGGGGTACCAAATTTGCGCATTTTTCGAAATTAGCGAAACTAATTTAACTTTTGTTTCATAGCATTTGTTCATTTACGTTTAAACATTGCTATAATATGTTATTATCTAAACCTCATTACAAAGATACTACATCACTATTAACTTCTGATCACTATTTAGAATGCATGTCTTTTTTCTGAAATACTGCTGCATTGGCTGGGACTTAGGTTAGGGAGTGCACAAAAATGGGTGGGGCCGTTTAGTGGTATATGTTTTTACTGCGCTCGCAACTGCATAAGGTCATATGAACGCCAAGGGGTGGATGTCAAAAGAGAAGTCCTTACAGGGAATCAGACTTACTCAGCTCACCTCTCTAGCTCCAACAGCACAAAGTCTGCTTCGACTATCAAGGCACCCCGGAAATAGTGGGTCACAAGAGAGTGTCAAACATACAAAAGAAGTAGAGGTAAAATGACGATAGTAAGGATTAGGAAAGAAAAAGCAGCAGTCCCTGTTGTAGATCAAGCACAGTTATGAGCGTGTCATTGATGAATCAGCCCATGTACAATTCTACTATGCATGAACGAGAAATGCCCCCCCCCCTTTTTTTATTTTAGGAATGGCCTAAAGACACTTCAGTCAGTGGCACCGCCCCGGGAGGTACGGCTGGGGTTGGAAGGGTTAATAAATCAACAATTCAACATTATAAAGGGCTAGATCTGAAACAGACATTGGCCTGGGTGATGGGAGGATTTTATCGATAAATACTTCTCCCCTTTCATGAATCGGAAAATAATTTGGAGACAAGTTCAAGAATGCCCCATAAAGACTTTCGATCCAGTTCCATTCACACCATAGCCCAGTGTGATTGTGTGATGCCAGCTGAACTTTCAATCCTCACCAGAGTCACGTAAAATGTGTTCTCGTGGCCTTACGGTTACGGTGTTCGCCTCACATTCAAAAGGCCAAGGGTGCGAATCTGGATAGCCGCGGAAATTTTCTTCTCTAAAATTTTCTTCTATCACCTCCTCCTGCTCTCACAATTATGTTCTGCCGTCTGCTTTCGTCTCCACTTTCTGCCCTCACCCCCTCACCCCCCCCCCCCCCCCCCTTGGGATCCTAGCTCTTTCTGCAGTCTTTGTACTGCTACTCCTTGGCTTCTTCCTACTGCTATCCTTCAGCCACACCCCTGGTATTATAGTAGGTAAGAACTGTCTCGGATAAAGAAGAAAAAATTCGGAGGTCCCTTGTGCAATTTGCACGCTTTAAAGACCCCTTGGTGGTCCAAAATCAATAAGAGTTGTCTTCGGCCGCCATCCGGGCAAAATTCAAAATGTCCTACCAACTGAAAATGATTAATGTATACCGCACGATCACATGACCGTATGCACTTTCCACCCGTCGCTATTTGGATTCAAACCCGGGACCTATTGAATGAGAGGCGAACACCTTAACCTGTAGACCACGAGAGCCCCCACACCATCTCTGGTATGGCCTACTGTAGACCACGAGAGCCCCCCTACCATCTCTGATGTGGCCTACTGTAGACCACGAGAGCCCCCCTACCATCTCTGATGTGGTTACTGTAGACCACAAGAGCCCCCACAACATCTCTGATGTGGTTACTGTAGACCACGAG